TCGGTGAAGAACATACATGTATGCAAATGATGACGTCAGCATACACCTGAAAAATACAATTATACTTACGTATGCACTGTACGTATGCGTGTACATGCACGCAAATGCGCAAGATGCGTAAACTAACATGCATATTTTTGTGTACGCACATACACACATGTATGCATGCATGCACGTGTGAATGCACACAAACGTACATACATACACTCATTCATGCATGCATAGATACATACATACATACACACAGACACATACATACAAACATTTGATTAATTATTTTTGTTGTTCTTGAGATTTGCATTCATACATTTTACATTTTTTGTTTGATGTAAACTCGTTTGTTGGTCTCTCTGTTTGTCAGTCTGTCCGTCTGTTTGTTTGTTTGATCGATTGATTATTCCTTTATATCAATGTTTATAATTGTTTGTAATTGTTAGTATTTTTTATTTCACTTATTTGCATATGTTTATTTGTTCCTTCATAGATCTGTTTGCATCTGCAATCCTCTGCTTGATCTTCAAATGTCTTCCCAGCGTTTGCTAATCTTTTCAAATAGTATCATAAATTAATTATGTCGCGTATTTATTTTTTATAAACAATTTATTCAGCCACTCGTTAGTCAGTTAAGTAACTGCATGTTTGCATAGAAGGTCTCTAAACATCTTGAGGATGGAGCAATGAATGAATGAATGAATGAATGAATGAATGAATGAATGAATGAATGAATGAATGAATGAATGAATGAATGAATGAATGAATGAATGAACGAATGAATGAATGAATGAATGAATGAATGAATGAATGAATAAGTGAGTGAGTGAGTGAATGAATGAATGAATGAATGAATGAATGAATGAATGAATGAATGAATGAATGAATGAATGAATGAATGAATGAATGAATGAATGAATGAATGAATGAATGAATGAATGAATGAATGAATGAATGAATTAATGAATGAATGAATGAATGAATGATAAATGGATGAACGAAAAAACTAAAAAATGAACACTCAAATGAGTGAATGAAAGAGCAAAAAACAACCAACGAACGAATGAGAAAGATTTACATTTTCCTCGCATTCATAATCAGCGTTGAACAATGTATGGCGGAGTTTCGTTCTTAATTTTTTCTCATACGCATCCTATTAGTGCGTGTCACACTCACTCACACATACACACTCACTCGCACATACACACTCACTCACACATACACACACACTCACACATACACACACACTAGCACGTACACAATGTGTATTACACATACTGGGCCGTCGAGACCATGTCAGCCAAGTATGAAACTTTTCAAATTTTCGTAAAAATTACTTAGACGCGAAACTTTACTTCAGTGAAAAATTAATTTAGCCTGAATGTGTTATTATTATTAGTTTTCTGATGTCAAATAACGTTAAATAAAGTCCAGTTAAAATATTTTCATGTTTGCAGTTTTTTTAACCTTATTCCTAAATAAATTTAAAATATAAATAATGGGTAGATTTTATTTGTCTGTAAATAGTCCGTGTAAAAAACAACATATATTACTATTTTGAGTATTTATATAACGCTCTTTATAAACTAAAGTTTCTCAAAATCGCGCAATATAATGTTATATATATATATATATATATATATATATATATATATATATATATATATATATATATATATATATATATATATATATATATATATATATATATATATATATATATATATATATATATATATATATATATATATATATATATATATATATATATATATATATATATATATATATATATATATATATATATATATATATATATATATATATATATATATATATATATATATATATATATATATATATCTATCTATATATATATATATA